TTCCTATGTTTTTATCTCTTTAGGTTAAATGTACAGCACCTTGGTCAATAGCTGTTGTTTTAAATGTGCTGTTTATATAAATTTGACTTTGACTTAGTATGACCTATTTGAGTAAACAGCCTAAAAATATGTGTAAAAAATCACTTTTCCTCACAAGAGACACTTTAATGATTATATTAATTATATTTAAACTACAGGATGAAATATTTACTGAAAATTGTTTTTTGGTTGTTAACTTTAATTCCGGCTTTCCTTACTGCAACTACTCCAATACGTACTTTGGCACAACAGCAACAACAACAACAAAAAAAAAAAGCTGGAAAACTTTTGTTCTTAGGGTCTGGAGAGTTTGGTTCCCTGTGATCGTGCCATGTGTTACTCTTACAGATAATAAATGTGCAGATCTTGATTCCTGCTGCTGTTCAGCCTGTAAAAACCACCCAGTAGCTGCCACATGTGGATCTGAATAAACTGGTGTTCTAAATATTAGTTTTGTCAAGTTTTTATTTAGATTTTAAGGAATCATGTGCAAAAGCAGTCATGTCAGAGATGGGAGATGCTAGCATTTGAACATAGGTGCAAACCAGCAGCCTTCATATGTTAGCATGCATAAACCTGTGACCATGATAAACATTAGCACAAAGCACCACTGTGTTTCATAGAGCAGTCAGCTGGTTCAGCATGCTTCATCTTATGTTATGACATAAAAAAAGATGGAGAGCTGTCCTAGAGTCGTTTTTAAGAATATCCTGATACACAAAGTGATTTTGTCCTCTATAAAGGAACTAGCAGCTGATGCACTGTTGCCTTGATTAAAACATTTAAGCATTAGAACAGCTGGCTCAGCACTTTAGCAGTCTATCCACAGCATCCATAAGCATGCGGCTGCATCTGATGTGACAGGGGCAACTTCCTACAGCATAACAGTTATGATACTAAAGATCAAAGTTGCTATCAATTTCCAAAGAGACATGTAGAGATGCGTGATCGGAGCCAATTAGCAGTTGTTTCTTGCCTCTGAGATTATCAGGGAGAGGGAGCACTGTAAAGTACAAAGCACCATCATGTGTCAAGTGGATCTGTACATCAATAAATATGGGCCTTCCTGGCTGAATAATGAGGGAGAATTTGTAGTTTTTGCTGTTCAGGGAATCCTAAAGGTTATCGGCAAACATTTATAACAGAGGCAATAACTTTGTGTGTGTGTGGGTGAGTGGGGGAGGGGGTGTCGAGGAGATGAGCCACTGCTATCTGCTTGACATTTCAGTTGGTATGGGTATTTGAACTGCTGGTTGGCTCTGACAAATGCCATGGCTGTCACAGGCTCAGTTTTAATTACACCTGACTGGGTCTTTCAGGGGCTCAGGGATGAACTTAATTAGCTAGCAAGCACTTGGCTAGTTCTGGCACTGGTTGGTACAACCTACGCAGCTTCTTCTCTGGCTTTCCGTTGGCATTTTAATGGTCTTGGTATATACAGGCTGGGAGAATTAACAAGCGAGAAGAGAGCAAATGGAGTCGAGGAAAAATGGAGTGAGTCTGATTTTCAACACCAAGTTAAATTTAATGTATGCTAGGTGTATAAATGGAGAGCTTTTAAGTGCCACTCGATATATTAAAAATTAAACTGCGCTGACCATAGAGTACAAGCTAAAATCACCCAATGGGATACACCTTGGCATTATAAAACAGTATGTTCAGTAAATTCCATTAGGGGGGCTTTCCTAAGCCGTGTGTACTCTGGAAAATGGGAAGGTCAAGTCAGAAGTTTCACCCCTTTTTTCATATGTTGCTCATGTAGCCTTGAATTCACCAGACAATCCCCATCATTATTTTGGGATGGATACTAACATGGACTGCACTGGGAAAGTCGACCAATCCAGCTGCCTCAGACATGAAACCTTTGCATAATTTCAGTAAGAAAGCTCTATATAATAGCTTGCAAAAATATGTTGTGTGGTTTCGGTGTTCCCATAATTCTGGGACAGTGTCTACTTCTTCCTCTTTCACCTGCTCCCTTTAGAGGTCACCACAGTTGGTCTGCCTGAAGCAATGTGTTAAGTACATCTTGTCACCTTCCCTTTCTGTCACAAATCACCGCTGACAGGTGTCTCCACCAACTCCATGCTGCCTGCACTCTCTGTCATTGCATTGGCCATGTATATAAACTTGCCTGCCTTCAGTTTTACAACCTGTCTCCTGCTCATTCACTCACATGTGTTTTGTCTTGCTTCTCCTGACTTTCATTCTTCCTTTCTCCAGGGCATACCTCCACCTCTCTTCCACCTGCTCCCTCCTCTCACTACAGGTAACAATGTCATCTGCAAAATGTCTGTGAAGGTTCTCCTTCATCCAGGTCATCGTAGTCTTCTTTCCAAGCTCATTAGAGCAGCGGTCCCCAATCCCCGGGCCTCAGACCGGTACCGGTCCGTGAGTCGTTTGGCTCAGGTGTGAAATGTGTGGTTTTCCGGGTTTTTATCGGTTTTCAGTGTTATTTTGTTATCATTTTTATCATTAACTCGGTTTTCCTGGGTCTTTTCCCATGTGTTGTGAATAAATCTTCTTTTTTTCGGTACCGGTACTAGTTTTATTTTGTTGTATTTATCCGCGACACCTTAAAGGCCGGTCCGTGAAAATATTGTCGGCATAAATCGGTCCGTGGCGCAAAAAAGGTCGGGGACCGCTGACTTAGACAATGTCATCTGCAAGCATCATAGTCCACAGATACTCCCGCCTGACGTCATCTGTCATCATGTCCATCAATAAGCGCAAACTAGAAGGGGGTGAGACCCTGATGTAAATCCACCCCGACTTAGAACTGATCTGTCAGTTCTACTACACAGCTCCCAACTGTCGCTGTCCTCATACATGTCCAGCACCACCTTCACATTCTTCTCTCCAACTCCTGGCTTCCTCATTTAGTACCACAGTTCCTCTCCACAGATCCTCACATGCTTTCTCAAGATCCACGACGACACTCCTTCTGAACTTCTCTCTGTGTAAATTAATTGTATTTCACTCATGGAATAGTTTACTTTAAAAAAAAAAAAATCAACAAGACTTCTCATATTTTTACCAGTTTCTTAAAATGGTTCTCAGTTAAATGAAAACAAAGTACAAACCAGTATTCGGGCAATATGGTATTCATGACACTTCAATTTCATCTATAGCACATGACAGCTTGAGATAATGTAGACACCAGAGTATTCCAGTAGCTCTCCCTGTGCTATGACAAGGCCATAGCGATGATTAAGTGGTTGGCACATTTTAATGAACACAAAGCCATTCAAGTGGAAGCAGATTTTAATTGAAATCTCCTTCTGTTTAATAACTTACCTTATTCACTGAGTCATGTTTCAGGAGATATAGAAGGTGAATGTGTGCTGAGTGAACAAGTAATTCTGTTTCACTTCACAAGGCTGCTCCGTGCCC